AGTCTCATCTACACCTGAATTCACTTTTCAAGACAAAACAAAACTAAAAGAAAACTTAGCACACAAATTAAAACAGAAACAAAAATATTTTTGGATTTTTGATTTTTCTGAACAAGAAATAAGACAGAAATAAAAATATTTTTGGATTTTTGATTTTTAATTTTTTTTAATTCTCCCCATAAATTTGTGCATAGAGGAAAACTATGAACAAATTTAACAAAAAGAAAAATATTTGGGATCAAAGTTGTTAGACAACCTTAGTCTACTTGTCGGTACCCTTATTTTCATGTCTTCGTCTGATCGATCGCTAGTATTGTGGTCCACTTAAGCACAAAACATTTGTGACAAAATTTGGACAATTTTTCGTATGACCATTTAACTGACTACAACCAGGGATATTGTTGTCCACCTAAATTGAGCAGCGAGATCTACAAACAATCTGTATGTGTTCATTTTTAATTGTAGTAGAACGTGTTTCCCGCTTCCTGATATGTCCCATCAATCAAGGACTTCCAAAATACTCCTTACACCGGGTGAGCTTACAATTATTAAGAGAGAAGATAGATTTAGAATGCATATGATGTACATCCAGGTTGGATCTCTTCCAATCACGCAAAGGATGAAACATATGACTAATTGAAGTTTTAGAGGGATTGAGAAGAGAACGTTGCATATACTATGTACCACATCGGATTATGAGTCACGCAAAGGATACAGTGTGTGGCTAATAGATAGAAAGAATTGCAGAGAGAGAAGATGCAGAGAGATAGAATTGCATATGTTACATTCCAGGTCGGATCTCTTGATCACGCAAAGGAGGAAACATATGACTAACAGACCGAAAGCAAGAAAATAATCTTCTAAAAACCTAGTTTATCGGAATTCCCTAGTCACCCCATCAAAACCGGAATTAAGGACAAAATCCGCACATCGAGGAAAAGTTATTCCGCATTTCTATATACGGGTTCTTTTAATGTGACTGATAGATTCTCATGTATATCTCCCTGCTCAACCTAACCGAGCATCGTAATTTTAGGCTAAACGGATCTAACTAGGTCAATGTTTTTCAAGTCCTTGAATTCCTTAAGTTCAACTCTCCCTAGTCAAGTCCATTTAAAATCTTTCGTGCCTACCAGCGCATCGAGCACAGAGCGTAGGCAATTCAATTTTGGTACTTTACGCAGATTCAGATTTCCCGTTATCACTTGATAATATCATTTCCCGATAATAACTACTAACAAAAAATTGTTTAGAAAATGAAAATTGTCTTTAAAACGAATCATATTAAGATAAACTCAGGAGTATAGAGAAGAAAATGCAAACCGTAATTTGCCGATTGAATTTGCATCCAGAAGGTTTGAGAACAACACACATAATCTCAAAAAAGATCTGGAAATTCTTTATGTCATTAAGCACTAACCCCATGTGATCCCTTCCTTTCTTCCCTTCTTTCCTTTCCCGCAACGGACACATACTCTCGAACAAAATTCTGAATGTTGTACAGTTGAGAGATGCATCCTATCATGTGCCTGGAACAGCCACTACCAACAAACCAAAGTCTGATGATATGCCTCTACAGCTGCTCCGACGCAGAGCGGGATCAGTTGGTCTTTGGAACCCAATCCATTTTGAAACTGGGTCGACCTTTTTCATCCTTGCACGGTACTCTCTCCCATGACATATCCTGCTTATCACAAACAAAAGATGTAGAAATATTAGAAGCATTAGGACATTTGGGAGATTGAGCCTTCGGAACCCATTCGTAGTTGGGTTTAACCCATTTCTTTTTCGATCTGATGGGTGGATCAGTACTTGCTTTTGATCTGGATGTCGGCTGTTGAGATTGTTGGGTTTTGAGCATTCTAACACTCCTAAGTGTACATGCAACCCTAAATACCTTGGATCTATGTTTTCTCTATTATACATGCAAACTAGGTTAAACCCCGTGGAACCCACGGGTGCTGTTTTTGAATTGAATTTAAAAATTAATTATTTAATAAAATATTATATCAATAATTCTGATAACTTATAAATTGTAATATTGAATATTTAAATAATTTTTTTTATTGGTAATTATTTAATTACTAACTAAATGGGAAGTATTTAATTAGGAATGAAGATTTTTGAAAACTATTTTTTTTTATTCATCATTCTAATTTGACATATGCAGATGATACAATACCAATGTGTGTAATGAAATTAACATAAAATACAACAATACGTAATTATAAAAAAATACAGTAATATGATGGATTAAGTGTGATTTCCTAAAATTGAATAAAACGACGTTACAAAAAAGTTGGCTACAAATTTCGAAAAACTTCCTTATAAACAACATTGGAAGTTTTATTTGTGATTTTGGAATTGGGGCGAATAATCGAACCATTTGGAGTTGCGAATTTGATTTTGAAAAGCCAATCAGTTGGGTTCGCATATAAAACAGATAAGTTTTGATTTTGGATTAGCAATTGGGTTAATTGGTTTATTGATTGAGGGACGATTCGTGAAGAAAAATGCGAAGTCAAGAAGGACTGTGAAATGTGATTTGTTCAATATTGGAGTCAAATGCAGTTCACGTGTAAAAGCAAAAATGTTCGCATTTGGTAATACAAATCAAAATTGGGTTTCGCATATGAGGTTGTATGGATTGGGGTTAAAGATGCGAAGGTGATTATGGTTAATATTCATTTCGTATTTGGTGAGACAAACAACTCAAATGCGAATGAACTAAAAAAAAATGACTGGAACATGCGAAGAAAGAGGGTGAATGAAGAATGTGAATTTTACAGTAGAATGCGAATTGGGGAAGAAAGCTAAGAATTTCGCATTTTTATTATACAAATTGATTGATTGATTGATTTGTCTTAATTGTTAATTGCGATATATGAAATACTTATCAAGTTAGGGGCAATATGGTCATTTTGAAGTAAAAGAAGCCTTGGTTATTAAATGAATCATACGAAGGATCTGTTATTTGATTTTGGAATTGGGGCGAATAATCGAACGATTTGGAGTTGCGAATTTGATTTTGAAAAGCCAATCAGTTGGGTTCGCATATGAAAACAGATAAGTTTTGATTTTGGATTAGCAATTGGGTTAATTGGGTTATTGATTGAGGGACGATTCGTGAAGAAAAATGCGAAGTCAAGAAGGACTGTGAAATGTGATTTGTTCAATATTGGAGTCAAATGCAGTTCACGTGTAAAAGCAAAAATGTTCGCATTTGGTAATACAAATCAAAATTGGGTTTCGCATATGAGGTTGTATGGATTGGGGTTAAAGATGCGAAGGTGATTATGGTTAATATTCATTTCGTATTTGGTGAGACAAACAACTCAAATGCCAATGAACTAAAAAAAAAATGACTGGAACATGCGAAGAAAGAGGGTGAATGAAGAATGTGAATTTTACAGTAGAATGCGAATTGGGGAAGAAAGCTAAGAATTTCGCATTTTTATTATACAAATTGATTGATTGATTGATTTGTCTTAATTGTTAATTGCGATATATGAAATACTTATCAAGTTAGGGGCAATATGGTCATTTTGAAGTAAAAGAAGCCTTGGTTATTAAATGAATCATACGAAGGATCTGTTATTTGATTTTGGAATTGGGGCGAATAATCGAACGATTTGGAGTTGCGAATTTGATTTTGAAAAGCCAATCAGTTGGGTTCGCATATGAAAACAGATAAGTTTTGATTTTGGATTAGCAATTGGGTTAATTGGGTTATTGATTGAGGGACGATTCGTGAAGAAAAATGCGAAGTCAAGAAGGACTGTGAAATGTGATTTGTTCAATATTGGAGTCAAATGCAGTTCACGTGTAAAAGCAAAAATGTTCGCATTTGGTAATACAAATCAAAATTGGGTTTCGCATATGAGGTTGTATGGATTGGGGTTAAAGATGCGAAGGTGATTATGGTTAATATTATTTCGCATTTGGTGAGACAAACAACTCAAATGCCAATGAACTAAAAAAAAATGACTGGAACATGCGAAGAAAGAGGGTGAATGAAGAATGTGAATTTTACAGTAGAATGCGAATTGGGGAAGAAAGCTAAGAATTTCGCATTTTTATTATACAAATTGATTGATTGATTGATTTGTCTTAATTGTTAATTGCGATATATGAAATACTTATCAAGTTAGGGGCAATATGGTCATTTTGAAGTAAAAGAAGCCTTGGTTATTAAATGAATCATACGAAGGATCTGTTATTTGATTTTGGAATTGGGGCGAATAATCGAACGATTTGGAGTTGCGAATTTGATTTTGAAAAGCCAATCAGTTGGGTTCGCATATGAAAACAGATAAGTTTTGATTTTGGATTCGCAATTGGGTTAATTGGGTTATTGATTGAGGGACGATTCGTGAAGAAAAATGCGAAGTCAAGAAGGACTGTGAAATGTGATTTGTTCAATATTGGAGTCAAATGCAGTTCACGTGTAAAAGCAAAAATGTTCGCATTTGGTAATACAAATCAAAATTGGGTTTCGCATATGAGGTTGTATGGATTGGGGTTAAAGATGCGAAGGTGATTATGGTTAATATTCATTTCGTATTTGGTGAGACAAACAACTCAAATGCGAATGAACTAAAAAAAAAATGACTGGAACATGCGAAGAAAGAGGGTGAATGAAGAATGTGAATTTTACAGTAGAATGCGAATTGGGGAAGAAAGCTAAGAATTTCGCATTTTTATTATACAAATTGATTGATTGATTGATTTGTCTTAATTGTTAATTGCGATATATGAAATACTTATCAAGTTAGGGGCAATATATTTTATTTGAGTTATAACCAAAATCAACTAACTTGTCCAATTTAAAACAATAAAAGTATCCAAAAATATTCAAAACCAATAATATTTGACATCCTAAATACCCCAAAATAAAAATCATACCAAGCAATTAAAATATCTTTATAACCAAAACAAATGATCAAAATATATTAAATGTGTCTTATAACCGATAGAAACTCACTTTTCAATTTTTGGAATCAAGAGTGAGTTTCCTCTGCGGTTGACTTTCTTTTAGCCTTAGTTGAACTTAAATCATATCCAGAATCAACATCATAAATTTCTTGGAGGTTGCGCTTCAAATCACCTGATATTTTGCAAGGACTTGTTGCGGTTGACTTATCAACTGTTGAGGGTGTAAAACTTTCGTCTGTTTGTGAGATCACATCCTAATTTAAAAAAAAAATGTTTGATTCCTAAAAAAAATAACTAATATAATTAAAAGTTTATAAAATAAAATGAAAAACCTTTTGAACAGGCTGTACAACATCATCGGATTCCAAAGCAACTTGATTTAAGGAGACAGATTGATTACTCTAAAAAATAAAATGGAAATATGTTAATCGTTATGTACTTTAACATTAAAGAATTGTAAATTTTCAACAATATTATAGTTGTTGACATTGTATTCTGTAATATCTACAACAAAACCAAACTTGCGGTTTTTCAACACATTAAGTTGCATTGGAAATAGGGCATCACTGTCTCCGGCCTGTAAGATATATTTTAATAAATTAAAAAAATTAAGTAAATGTTTTCTGATTTTAAAGGTATGAATAATATACCGCATCATGTATCTTTTTCAACTCGTAGGCACTTATATTTAACAACCTCCTTGCTTCCCTATCAAAAAGAGTCAATCCAATGGTTCCAGTACAATCTTGTACGTTAATTGGAATTATATACCTAAAACAAAAAATAATTATGTCATTGTTAGTGTTGTTTTAAGATTGACAAAATTAATAGAAATAAATATGTCTATACTTTATAACTGACTGAAATTCAGATTTTTTGCATTGTGCATTTGTACACTCGACAACCATAGTTTCTGAAATTCCCTCAGGGTTGGTATACGAATGATTGGTTTTGGGAACAGGGATAATTTTTTTTCCACATTTTTTGCATGCTTCATAATACCATGGTAGATTCTGCCTTATATTAACAATGGAAGCAACTAATAAAAACTTCATTTCCTGTATCATATAAAATGTAAAAATTATTAAAATAAATTATGCAAAAATAAAATGTAAAACATATAAAATAATGCAATATACCTTAATTGGTTCGGTGATCTCACAGATTGTTTTTAATGGAAAATTGCCCTTAAAGTCATCTGTATATGAAGAAGAGTAGCTTTGAAGTGTAGTTATGCTTTTTTCAGTTATACCGAAATTGTCATGACATTTCAACCTGTAATGTTTAATTTAGATTCATGAATATTAGGTTTTGTGTTTTTTTTAAGTTAAAATACATTATAAAAAAATAAAAAACAATTGGAAACTAACTTATTTTTAAACTCATTTATTTCATAAATGTCAGAATTTATGAACAATTTCGTTACTTCAAAATGACTTTTAGCTTCACCAAGACCTGTAAAAAATGTATATCCAATTATTAAAATTTATATAAAAACAGTAATTATAAACATCTATATATAAAGACTGAATACAAACCATTCCAAATGTTTAGCTTCAAAAACTGCATCACGATAACAACAAAATTAACAGTCGGGTTATTTTTTAGGTATTCTGAAATTTGATATGCTTGACTTCCAAAAATAGTAACCTTCAGATGTACAGAACTAAATAAACCATAAAATAGTATATTAATATTAATTTGTGATTAATTAAAGATAATAAATAATAAATAAATAATACAATATAATCTCACTCTAGGTTGCTAAGAGTGACTTTTATATAATGCTTGGATGGTACTGGATTTGAAGTTTCAAGAGGCCTAAATGACACGATATGTCCAATAACATCTACACAACAGATACACAAAAAATAAAAGTTTAGGATTAAATTCGTAATATTTAAATAATAAAATGTATAACCAAAAAAACAAATGATAAAAAATGATTTTATTAATATTTTATGACTAACCAAAGAATGTGTCTTTTGGGCATGTTTGTTCTATGATAGAATTAAAGTCAACAAACATAAATCCATTGACCGGACCCGAGAAATCATCACATTTTTTTAGGATGCTTTTCCAATCCAAAGTTAAGGTCTGTTTATGACCTGTATAACTAAAACCATTAGTAACAGCAGCCATATTGGGTTTTATAACTATATAACTTTCATCTTCCTTTAAAAGATGACGAAATCTGGAGAAATTCTGATTGAAGACACGAGCTTGGTATTGTGTACCCTGTTTAAAAAAAAATTAAAAATTATTATGTTCATGAAACATGTCTAATATTGAATGATGAATAAAAAATATATCAAATACAACAAACCTCCTCATCCATGATGATCATTTCAATGGAACAAACTTTATTATTTCTGACAAAGTTCCAAATTTTAAGCACCCGAACCTTGATATGCGATTTTTCATCTATCTGGTCAATGTTATTTAGGTAAACCTTATTTCCTATTTCCATTTTCTGCAATAAATTTAATCATTATAGAATTGTAAGGAAAATTAGCAACCTTTTAAATTAACAGCAAATCAAAGTAAATGAAACAGCAAAACAAAAAAAACATATTGTAATAGTTAAAGCTTTGAGGTTGTATGGATTGGGGTTAAAGATGTTCGCATATTGGAGTCAAATGCAGTTCACGTGTAAAAGCAAAAATGTTCGCATTTGGTAATACAAATCAAAATTGGGTTTCGCATATGAGGTTGTATGGATTGGGGTTAAAGATGCGAAGGTGATTATGGTTAATATTCATTTCGTATTTGGTGAGACAAACAACTCAAATGCGAATGAACTAAAAAAAAAATGACTGGAACATGCGAAGAAAGAGGGTGAATGAAGAATGTGAATTTTACAGTAGAATGCGAATTGGGGAAGAAAGCTAAGAATTTCGCATTTTTATTATACAAATTGATTGATTGATTGATTTGTCTTAATTGTTAATTGCGATATATGAAATACTTATCAAGTTAGGGGCAATATGGTCATTTTGAAGTAAAAGAAGCCTTGGTTATTAAATGAATCATACGAAGGATCTGTTATTTGATTTTGGAATTGGAGCGAATAATCGAACGATTTGGAGTTGCGAATTTGATTTTGAAAAGCCAATCAGTTGGGTTCGCTTATGAAAACAGATAAGTTTTGATTTTATAGAATAAATTTAATGACCATATTGCCAATCAGTTGGGTTCGCATATGAATTCCATTTTCTGCAATAAATTTAATCATTATAGAATTGTAAGGAAAATTAGCAACCTTTTAAATTAACAGCAAATCAAAGTAAATGAAACAGCAAAACAAAAAAAACATATTGTAATAGTTAAAGCTTTGAAGAACAGTTTTTTTTAAAGAAAATAAAGTTCTCATTTTTATTACTAATTTCGTATTTTGTAATCATTTTCATTAACATTTACGTCTTTTAAACTGAAAAGGTAGAAGAAGAACATGATTAAGAAGAATTAGCAAAAGGAAGAAGAAGAACATCACTAATAAAATGAAAAATGATAGAAACTGGTAAATCAGACAATTAAGAGGTTAGAAATATTAGTAATGCTGATATTTTAATACACTAACCTGATATTATAATTTTTGAAGCGTTGCAGAATCAAGAAGAATGAAGAAGAATACGTTTGCAAATATTACTATGGAGCAGAATTCGTCTGGAGCAGAATGGTAAAAAGAAAATAACCGTATGAATGCTATTTACGTTTGAATAAATAAGAATAAGAATTAAGAAGATTACGTTTGAAAAAGAATAATATTGCAGATTTTTAGGGATTTAATTTGCAATCAAAATAAACAAACTTTCAAAATTAATGCGTGTTTTTCGAATCTGAAGATTGATTAACATATTTGTTTGCAGATTTTTCCGGAATTATTGAATTTGGATTGTATGGCATTTACGTAAATATAGATGAATAAAATGAGCGGGAAAACTCTATTTTGGAGGTCTTATAGATTGACACGTGCAGAGTTCTACTTATTTATTAGAATTAGGATAAGAACATCCAAGGTATTATCCTAATCTAACATACAAAACAATGAGTGTAACAAGATAGAATACATACCTCTTTGATGTAGAAAGTCTTCATGAAGCTTGAGTGCCTAGCCCCAATAGTGTGGAAGCCTCAAATGGAATCACAATCATCAAAACTCTTAGAATAATTTGAGAGAGTTCTACACTTCATGAAATCGGCTAGCCCTTTTGTTACTCTATCTAGTGGCCGATTTTTGTCAAGAATAAGATCATTATATAGTGTTACAATTAGGGTAAATCCTTAATTGTCATGGCTTTCCATTTCCTTGGATCCATGGGTTCAAATACACCATGGAGCATCCATGGACCATCCTATAGGTTTTAGCCCAACTTGATTATCCATGGAGCATTAGCCCACTATATAAGTATGGATGATTTACACAATCAACCCATATATTTAATTAGTCTTCTTTTGATCACTTAATTAATCCTAGATTAATTCTTGATCAATACTAATTAAATAATCTTATTATTCTTATTATTAATATACTAGAACTTATAATATATTAATAACCATAAGTGTCTTATTTCTCTCATTATAGTCTATCCAAGTGCATGATGGTATGCAACCCAAATGGACCATGCCGGGTCGGGTCAAGTCTTACCAATTATAGTTATGGACTTAGACATTAATCCAACAGTCTCCCACTTGGATAAGTCTAAAACTATTATTGCGTATGACTTCAGGAACCAACCGGCAATCATAGCTCTCAAAAGCTTCTGTCGAACTCTGACCTTGTAGATGAACTCTGATCTAGTCAATGACTTGTCCATTAGATAAGGGATCATATAATCCTCTGTTCTCATGATATCAGCTGGACAAATACATGGAACAATGTCGTACTTATTGTCCAGCAGTTTGTTTCCCGATTTTCGATTTGTTTGACAAAGAACTTAATCGAACACATCAATTCAGTTCTGACCGGCCGGTACATAGGTCACAACAAAATCATCGAGGGGCCCAGATATCGCTTCTATTTCTAGAAGGAACAGATAAACTTCGACTCATATACTTGTTCTACTACTTGTTGAATTGTACACAAAGGCCGTTTTATAACATCAAGTTACTGATGCGTTTACGTGCAATCAATGCACAACCAACTCATAGGTAACAACTCATATCTCTAGGTTTGAAGATTTATATGATATTACCGTCTCACGATCACTCGAGATAAATTCCATGAAGTGATACAAGTGAGTGTGGGTTTATTCCAATACTCATAACTTATGAGCACTCATGAATGTTGTAGCAACATTGCCATGACTAAACCATTTAGCCATCTACAAACCCGATTCATGAGTCTTGATTCATACCTACTTCCAACATATGAACGACTGTGGAGTGTTTAAATAACTTAGTCATTCGAAAAGAATAACCTAGCTATTTTGGAAGTCAAAACATGCAAAGTGAAACACAATAATAATCGAATCTAATATGGTCTCAGAACCCTTTTGAATATAAATAAAACCACCTTTTATTTATCACCATATTGATTACACATTATTCAATGTTTCAAATAATCAACTTAAGACTTGAATAAAAACAATAGTCATCCCATGCTCCTAGCATGTACACTTTGTTTTCTAAACAATAGTTATGCAATACTCCAAGTATGCACACTATGTTTGTCTATGATCCTTACATTGTGATGTAGATCAATTGAACATGATTCCAATGATACTCATTTCACAATCCCAAATCCTTATTGTAAATGCAAGAATTCCAATTCATGTCATTTACTGAAATCTGTTAGATTCTAAACTTATATGCATTGATCCTCTTGTAATGATTATGCACGAAGTCAGAAAGACTTGACAACAACCATTACAGAGCATTCCAAAGGAGATCAGCTCCTTGGGAACATCCTTCTTGCATTAAGTTTCCTAATCTTACATAGATTGAATAACTTCCACTATGGAGACATTTCCATAGTCCCATTTTGACTATCACTTCCGAACAAGAGTTACTTCTTTTCAGAAATGTCAATATGGTCCTACCAAAATTAACACTATACTTCCAAATGTCCTTGAGCAACCAATCTTTGGCAACCTCAGATTGTCCTCGACAATTGCTTAATCACTTTTAGTCATATCCAGTTCTAGACTTTTCCCTTCTAATGCCTTAAGCATTTGGAAAATTTAGAAAGGATGAATATTATAGCACATGAAATCGATCCTATATCTGAAGCATATGGGACACGATTCATGATGTTTGACATAAAGACATGATACTAGACCAGTCTTTTGCTACAATATTTTTATTTGCCATGTTTTCAAAATTTAACTATGAAGAGGGATGCCGTAATCATAATCGAATTTTGAGAACACAATATATATAGAATTTCTTCAAGTTGAACCATTCCAACATAAAATTCATATATATTCTTGACTAAAATGATTAAAATCTCAATCTAAGCTTTAGAATTGACATGAAGTATAATTTCCTCTCCCTTAATTATAGCAAAACAACTTTTCGTTTTCTATAATTAACATTGCTAGCTTGCAATACTAATCATAATAATAATCATGCTCCCACTAACATGATGATTATCAGCATAACACTTATGCTCCCACTAGCTCTGACATATTTTCAGAAATCTGCTGGACTTCTGAAATTTAGATTCATACATCCTTTCTTAGATAGCTCACATTGTGTCTAAACAATTTTCAGAACTATGAAAAGGGATGCCGTAATCATAGTCTCAATTGCTTAGGCATTTTCCATTTCTCACAAGTCCATGTTAGTGTGCCGTTAACCACACACGCCCACTAACTAACGACTTTTGAAAATGCAAATAACACAATTGATATCTACGTAAAATCTACTTAGTGAAAGCGTTTCCTCACCATCATTTTCATGAATCGGAGAGAACCTTATGACACTTAGATTTTATAGTGTATGAGTTCCTATCCATGCGAATTTGTCAAAACCATAATCACAAGATAAGGTTAGTGACAAATTCAGCCTTACATGGATTAAACTTATTCAATCTTAGTTTCTTGTCACCTTGGTAGCACAAGGCCCACCAATGCTTCCAAGTTGAACTCTGATAACTCACATGCAAATTCAACTTATTTGAAGTAGGTACAGAAATAAGAATTATGTCAACACGATAGGTTGCAAACCTTAAGTCGTGTGCTAGTGATAAATTACAGGTTTCACTCTTGATTAAATCTTGAAACTCTTTCAGGATCTTTAAGGCTCCCACTGTCCCCTTGACATATAAGTTTTCCTAGTCAAGAACCATTCCTTGACAAAACAAATATTCAAGGGATAGTGCGGATTCTTATCAAGACTAACACTTCACACAATTGGTCTTAGTTGGTCTTTGTCTCATCCAAGACATCACAACTTACCAATCTCAAATGTACAAGAGTAGAAACATTTCACACTACATTTGATAAGTGTTTTAAACCTTACTTTATGTCACTCAATGTTACAATCTTGGAGTATGACTCTAAGAATTGTTTTGGAACGAAGTATGACTCATCTCTTGATTTAACCAATCCAACAATTCATGACCTCTCTTCTTAGCCATAACAATGCACTAAGACGTCCTTAGAGTATGAATTTGTGATATGGTTTCTAAATCATTAAGATGATCATGAAATATGATACTAAAGTACTCTCCCATCTTTTCAGATTTGAGAAACTTTTATCTTCTGCCTAATTTGATTCTTCTCATTTGTTTGCATACATTGTAACCTTTCCAATGTTACAGAATTATACTTAACCTTATAAGTATAATCATATTTACTAATCTTTAGTAAATCATGACAAATCAATCTTTGTGGTGGACCTTGACCAGCGCACACCCAGTGTACCTAATTCCTTAGTCCTTCAATTGACTCAATATACATGTGATCAAAGAATTAGTCTTAATTTTTCAAAGATGAAAATTCTCATTCATCATACAATACAACTTGTATGATTCCAAGTTTCTGTCCAATTGAAACTTGGGTGATGAAAAACTTTCTTCATTTGGTAAATTCAGACACTACCACAAATGAAAGAATCAAATCCACTTTCCAATATTGCTATTACTGGAAACATATAAGCAACAATTTTCCACAGATGCCATTGTAAGGATATTTTTTTAAAATAAATAAAATTAAAACCCTTTTTTTTTTTTTTTAAAACTTTGCGGAAAAACTTATCCTTACAATCCACATGAAAACTTGTTGTTATCTATTCACAAGCAATATATTATAACTCCTAAGAAGTAGCTCAAGAATCCGATCTTCAAACTACGCGATAGAAATCCATCTACGCGATCAGATTCAGCATATTCTTTCTTAAGTTTCTTTACCTTTTCTTTGATTCTTAAAACATCACCATGTGACCCAGTCACATCATGTATCAAGAATCTCAGAATAGAAACTTAGCAGAGTTAGATAGTGGACTTTACCTGAAGTAGAGTCAAACTTATCGACTTTAACATCCTTAGGTAAATTATGGCAGCTTTGCAACCAATGCCCCTTTCTTTGCAATAT